AAATTACTAAAGTGAGTATATAAAAATTAAATATTTATGGCAAGGACCTAGCACAATGTCTAATAGCTAGACTAAATGTCCTTCTTCAATTAATAGATCCCAAATACACACCATCACTCACATAACCCCCATTCTGCCTTAAGGCACTCTTATTCAAGGTCAGGGTGAAGACTGAGGCCTAAGGAAAACAAAAGACAAAGGGAAGATGAATTCACATTTTTTTTCCTGAGCCTGCCTGCTTGAGCTAGAATATCTCATTTCATCTCTTGCCTTTGGACTAAATTCACCTTCAGTCTCCAGCTCTCTGAGTCTCCAGTTTGCAAATGTCAGATTGTGAGACTTCGCAGTCTTCATAATCACATGAGCTCATTGGTCATAATCAGTCATTGTTTCTCTTATGTATATCATATAAATAAAGAAATACATATTTGTGGGAGACTTTTTGCATGGCATGAATTTTGCTAAAATCTGCTCTACCATCGCCTGCCCCAAGGCAGGATATCTCTGCATTCTGCATTTCTTTATCTCTGCATTTTGCATTTCTTTAAGTAACCATTTACTCAATAAGTCAGTCTTTGCTGACCTTTTGTTCCTTTTGTAGTATTTCCTAGAATTGCTTCAGGCAAGCCTGGTGCTTGGCAACAGGTGCTTCTTGCCCTATATATTGTGTGAATTACCCCTGAATAAATGAGACTTGATCAGAACCCTGTCTTGTCTCCATTTCTCATGTCTCTTGTCCCTCCTCATCCTCACTCCCCCTCTGGAGTCCTCGTTGCTCGACCTGCGGGACGGGTCACATATTGTGTGTTTCTCTGTGTAAATCTGACTAGTATAGGTCTTACTCTAATGTATTTAACTATAAGCTTATGCAGGTTGGTGTTCAGCAATGATATTCCTGAGAATTTAACAATTGGTACTAAAAAGCCAGTACCAGCTGTCTCCAGCATATCACTGGCTATAATCTTTGCCACTCAGGCAGCTCTACCTAATCTTGGGGGAAGAGGGGGTTATGCCTAAAGAAACTTGTTTTTCTTTGGAGGGACTGGCTGGCAGTTTGTATCAGACCAGTGGACAGAGGAGACAAGCCATGCCCTGGGGCTACAGCCTGGCTATCAGTGACTGACAGGCAGTTCCAACTGTGACACTGTAGTTCCAAACCCACCAACAACAGTGAGACAATGAAGAACAGACAGAAGTCAGGGCTTCCTGACAGGCTGCTCCTTTCAAAGCCCAATTTTTGGAAGTTCCTGCTCTCCTAGCACAGGCATCAATGGAAATTTTAGTAATTTTTTTGAGTAGTTGTTTAAAAGTTGCCGGGCCAGTGTGGCTCAGTGACTGAGCATTGACCCATGCACCAAGAAGATGCCAGTTCAATTCCTGATCAGAACACATGCACAGGTTGTGGGCCAGATCCCCAGTGAGGGGCATGCAGGAGGTGACCAATGGATGTTCTCTCTCATCGATGTTTTTACCTCTCTCTCATTCTCCTTTCCTCTCTCTCTAAAATCAATAAAGAAAATATTTTTAAGTAATTAGAGAGAGAAACCGAAGGTAGGGGGAGATAAACCACAGAACTTATATGCATGTATGCATGACCAATGGACATGAACAACAAACCTGGGGACAGGGCAGGGAGGGAGGGGGAAGAGGGTGTCAATGGGGGTAAAAACACATCTGTAACAAAAATAAATTAAAAAAAAAAAAAGAAATCTAGTCCTCTTACATGATTGGCCTCAAGTCATTTCACTTTGAGCATTGAAAGACGATGGGACACACAGTGATGCTTGGCTATCTGTGGCAGTACTGTCAATTGACCAAAGGAAAATGGTCTAATCATGTGAGGCTTTAACATCTCACACAAACCTACAACAAAGCTTGAACGTATTCATTTTAGAAAATGACCACACAGAAAAGCTTCAAAAAGCTGTGTTTTTATTCATTGACATTATAGTTCATTAAATCAACATATGAATCAAGTATTCTTTGATGGTTGAATTAAAATGTAAGCAATGTAAAAACTTCTCAAAATTAACATCATCTGTGATGGCAAAAGGATTATGCATGATACAATTAAAAATGTTTATACTTAGTTAATCTTGACAAGATATAGGAAAATACCACACTTCTAAGAGCAAAGCGAGTAGAAGACAGAAAATAATAAACGACACATGAAACAAGGGTTTCACTCATCAGGTACAGTGTTGTTTTTTTCATGGGTTATAACTAATAAAATGAAAGTAGAGTTAAAATACAAGACCCCTGTACTTGTACAATTCTGGATTGACTCAATAATTCAGTGGTGCATTTTAAGGTGTTTTGGTCAAGAGTTAATTTCATTTATTTTCCAGAGTAGAGCTAAGCAACAGCTTCATGATCCTTAAAAATGCATTCATTAAAGGTCAGTTATTAGAAAATAGGCAACTTTTTAAAGTACATCTATTTACCTGTTAGCTGGACTTGTAAAAATATAGACAGGATAATAACAAATAAAAAGCAAAATGCATCTAAGTACAAAAATGAACATTTACAAGAATCCTGGTGTGTTCAGATTTCTTGATTCTTGTCCTGGCACGTAGCATCTCAATGAAGTAGTTTTTTATTTATTTATTTTTTATTTAGTCACTGATAAAAAGGTAAAAAGTTTGGAAGCATGGTTAGTATAAATTATAAAATATTATGTAATCAGGATAATGAACATTTATAGAGTCTAAACAATATTAACAACCCTACTGAGACACAATATCATTCGCTTCATTTTACAGGTGAGAAAACGAATCACATAACTTGGTTATATTCACCCATTTTGGGTGGAACTAAAAAAAAAAAATTGAAGTTTCCTGAGTCCAAGTTCAATTCTCTTTTATGTTACTAAATTATTAATCTGGCTCAGCCATGGGACATGTCCACCTTTCATTCCTAGCCCCTAAAGCATTACATGGATATTTTTTGAGCTGCTATGCTCCAGTCTCTGTGACAGAAGTGGAAAATGAGCACAATGGCCAGAGTTCCCTGCAGAGTGGCTGGCAAGCGTTCCACCAGCTGCGGTGCACAGGGAGTGCGGCTGCCTGTGTAGGGCCTTGCCAGTCCTTTCCTCAGAAAGCAACAGTCGGCAGACACTGAGCCGATTATTCTGACAATCTCTCTTCAGTTTCAATTCCAGAAAAGGTTCAAGTAAGAGGGTTAGAAATAATTTTTTCCTTATAATTTACCCTGAATTTTCCTCCTATTAATGATTTTTGTTATCATTTTAAAATTCAGAGACTATTTTTTCACTGAAAACAAAAATAAAAACAAACAATATTCAGAGCAATTGGGTTCCCTCACCCAATTCATATAGGATTGTATCAAACAAAAAAATAATATGTGGATTATAGTTTTTTAAGACACTTTAAAAGTGTCTCCATTTCCCTATCCTCCTTCTCTCTGGCAGCCATCAGTTTGTATCTGTGCTTACGAGTATTTTTCCATTTTGTTTTGTTTGGTGGAAGGAAAATAAAATGAAAAAACTTCCAGTTATAAAATAAATAAGTCACAGGATGTAAGGTACAGCACAGGGACCATAGTCAATAATATTGTAATAACTTTGAAGGATGACAGACTAGACATATTGGGTGATACACTGTAAAATATATAAATAACAAATCACTATGTTGTACGCCTGAAACTCATATAATATTATATGTCAACTATACTTTAATAAAAATCAAACAAAAATAAATTTTTAAAAGAGGAATAAAATAATCAAATATTATAATGTGTTCTTAAATGTTATTGATTTTCTGACTACCTCACACATTATAACTATTAGCTCCTAACCAAGAATAAAATTTGCTCATAAATCATGGCTTTGTGTTTTTTTTTTTATAAATCCTCACCCAAGGATATTTTTTCCATTGATTTTTAGAGAGAGTGGAAGGAAGGGAGGGGTTTAGGGAGGAGAGAGATAGAGAGAAACATGAATGTGAGACATATCAGTTGGTTGCCTCCTGTATGCATACCAACTGGGGCCGGGAGAAGGATCAAATCTGCAACCCTGATATGTGCCCTTGACTGGGAATCGAACTCGTGACCCTTAGGTACTCAGGCTGACTCGCTAACCATTGAACTACACTGGCCAGAGCAATCAGGGCTATTTTAAAAATGAACTTTTCATTGGAGTTAGCACATGATCCAGCTGTCCTTCTTCTGAATATCCACCTGGAAACCTCAAAAACATTTATTCACAAAGATATATGCACCCCAATGTTTATTGCAGCATTATTCATGGTGGCCAAGACATGGATACAATCAAAGTGTCCTTCAGTAGAGAATTGGATACAATTATGTGGTACATATATACACAATGGAATATTACTCAGCCATAAGAAAAGATGAAATAGTGCCATCAACATAGATGGACCAGGAGAATATTGTGCTAAGCAAAATAAGTCAGTCAGAAAAAGCTAAGAACCATATGATTTCACTCACATATGGGATGTAAAACTGAAACTCATAGACACAGACAACAGTAGGGTGGTTGCCAGTGGGAAGTAGTAAAGGGTAAAAGGGGCCAAATGGATGGTGACAGAATATGTTTTGACTTTGAGTGGTGGGTGCACAATGCAATATATAGATCATGTATCATAGAGATGTATACTTGAAACCTGTGTGATCTTATTAGCCAGTAGCACCCAATGAATTTGATAAAAGTAAAATAAAATGAACTTAGCTAACATTAAACTCATCACTACTTAACAGACATTTATACAATTTTTAGCATGATTTCAGCAGTCCTAATCTTAGGTGACAAAATAACCATTCTCTCGTTAGTGTGTTAGTATACACACCACCCTGAGTTATTCATGTTCATAATAATATTTTTTTTCTTTCTGAAATTGAGTCATTTTTTAAATGTAAAATAAATTGTGTTTTAAATGTATTATAGCAATCAGTATCACATCTTTCTCAAATATGAAAAAAAGTGAGAAAATATTTGAGAACAAAGAGAGAAAACAAAGGTCTTACGTCAAGTGGTTTAGAGTCCCTTCTTCACAGTCGGTGTCAGGTTTTAGCTTGCAGGTCATGGCCTCACAGCAAAGGTTGGTACATTCCTTTAAAACACACACACGCACAATGGGAAAGTGGGTTCAGCATATTTACCTATAGAATTTTTGTACAAGATGGCAATAAAATTTTACTTTTTAAACTAAATTGTTCTGCTATACTAGTTATAGTGGACATGATCAAAAAAATTAATTTAAAAAATATAAGAAATGAAAAAAAATTGAATTATCCACATATCACCCCAAATAAATTTTCCTAGATGATATCATGTAAATTAATTTAAAACTTCAAGAGAGAATATTTCTATACTGTACAAACTAAAGATAGAGAAAAAATATTTTAAATCTTTAATTTGTTTTACCAGGATAAAATAATTCTGATCATAAGAACTGGTAATGAATATACACACTCACACACACATTCTCATTTATTTATATAAATACAAAAACTTGAATAATATATTAGTAAAGCACCATTTTGTTAGTATGAAAACTCCCCATTACAACTATTCAGTTTTTTTTCCCCACCAAAATGCAAGGGTGTCTCAATTGCACAGAATAGAGTAATAGAATTCATCACATTAAGAGACTGATGGAAAAAAACAACTCTTATTGTGATAGATGGCAAAACTATCTGTTAAAAATTTAATAGCTATTATTGCATTATTTAGACCTACATAAGTAAACTATGAACAGAATTATATAGCAACATGATGAAGAAAATCTATCTGATAAATAATAAAAATATATCCAATAAAAAGAAGAATAAGAGAAGGATTATTTACAGTCTATATTATTATGGAAATTCTGATAAATACTATGAGAAAAGAAAAAATATGAAAATGTAATAATTGGGTAGTATAAATCACATTTTCATTATTTGTATGTGATAAAATTATTGACCTGGAATAAAATATAAGATCAACTCTAAAAATATTGGGTGAGTCACTGGGATAGCTGTTTAAGATAATAATCAAACATAAAAAGTCATAATAAATTGAAACCTAAAATAAAAAAGAAAACATTACTTATTTTAATAGCAAAAAAAAATAGAAAATACTTCAAAATAAATCTTCAAAACATGCCAGAATTACATGAAAAACTTTATATATAATGTTTGCAAGAAACTTCTAAAGCAAATCCTTTTTAGACAGTACTTATTATAAAAATGCCAGCGGTCTTCAGAGTGAAATATAAATTCAGTGCCTTTCCATCCGAATCTCAATTGTATTTGTGGACAAACTGACAAAAAATACCAAGAGTTATATGAAAAAATAAACATTAAAGATATGCTATGCATGTATCTTTATGTATGTATGTATGAAGATATGTATATATGAAGAGTTACCATTAAAGATATTAAAATGCATTATATAGTAACAATCATTAAAACAGCATGATGCTTGTGTTATGATAGACAGTTGAAATTATTACTTTTAAAAACTAGAAAAGACCTAAATTAAAAAAAAAAATGACACATCAGATCATGGGAAACTGGATTATTCACTATAGGATACTATGTAAGGTATATACACTATGTATGTCATTTGCCTGCTGAAATTAGAAGTACCTAGGATTGTCTTCCACCTGAGAAACCATATGGGAGTGTAAGCAAGTAAGAATGAGATGAACTCAAATCTAACCTATTTATAAAGTATTAAATCATTTTTAAATTCCATCTCATTATAATTAATAAAATATTTGCAATATTCTTTATACATAATTAATTTACACCATGTAATCTAATATAATTCAACAGCTTGAAATTTATGAATAAATAAACTGAAGCACTTAGAGTTTGTACATTTCCCTTTTTTTTTTCTTTTTAATAGTTTTTATTTATTTTGATTTAAGAAAAAAAATTTTCTTTTATTTATTTAGAGAGAGTGTAAGTGAGAGGGAGACAGAGATAGAAACATCAATGAAAGAGAGCATCAATTGGCTGCCTCCTGCATGCTCCCTACTGGTGATTGGGCCCACAACCTGGGCATGTGCCCTGACCAGGAATCAAACTGGAACCTCTCAATCCAAGGGATGGTGCTCAATTCACTGAGCCACACCTTAGCTGGGCTGCCTTCTCCTTTTTAATAGAGCCTCTTAAAGTAATGGGTAAATCTTGGGTTTCAGTGGATTCACTAATTAGTTTTGTACCCTTGGAACTAGTTACTCAGCTTTTCTGAGTCTCACTGCTTCTTCTCTAATTTGGGATCATAGTAAAATCTATTTTTATAGGTTTGTTGTGAGTAATAAAAAAATTGATATATATATATATATATGAGCATTTTGTAGACTGATACATAGACAATCTCTTCAAATATTAACTCAATTTTTTAGTCTTAAAAGTTAAAGATTGCTAAAACAGAACAACAGAATGCTCTCTTTTAGAAACCTAGTATGGGATTGCTAGTGAACATTCTATCAGAGACATTTTTTGGAGTGCACTGATGCCTCGAAGGTATCAGATTTTGTAGATATTAGCAGACTTATGGTAATTATCTTAGATATTCAATGTTAATAAGCCATTTCCTATAAGTTTATGTCCTTCCGTGTTTTTCTTCTTTCTCCATTTTATTTACTGACTGGTTTACATATTGGCAGGATGAGAGAAAGCCAACTCTCTCTATGGAGAGGACTTCTAGATCTATAATTGTGATTGCTCAACAAATGATCAACTGACTTCATGTGGCACAGGACTTCTGACTAGTGTATCTAGGAATGCTCATAAATAACATATCATAGCTAATAATTTACTTCTTTACATTGAACTTCATACAATCATATCATAACTGTATCCTGGCTTTTGAAATGCTTTTCAAATAATGCCTAAAATCAGTACTAAAAACATAAGTGCAAGTCTACTTTGTACTGTGATGCCAAACTTGTCTTAAAAAAAATTCTAAAAATAACCAATTTTTTTCTTCAGAAAGGAAAAAGAAAGAAAACAGGTGTACCACAATCACTCTATAATACATTTTTAAAACTGGATATTTTCATACCTTAGGAGAGCCACAATCACATTCTTCTCCTACTTCCAGAAGTTTGTTCCCACACACTGGTTTTGTTATTATATTTTTAGGACTCGGTGCTTCCAGCAGGCAGTTTGGTTTCCGAGATAAAATGTATCTTTCAAAATGGGAGCGGCAGGATGCACTGAAATCCTTTGGGAATTTTGAACTGTAACCAGAAAAAAATCAGCAATACCATGATATACTGTGATAAATTAATGAGAGAATCTGAAGTGTCTAAAAATATTACCTGGTTCAATGGAAATTCCAAATTTAGTATTTGTTTAGGTTTGCACTGTGTTTTGTTGTGGAAGGTGACAAAACTATGCATACATACTATATATACAACATAGCATACATACTATGCTAGTTGGAAAACTATTCCTAGACACCCAGTTGTAGGGCCAGAAGAATTTAAATTTCAGTCTAAATTCAGTGCTGTCCTAATTGGCAGGAGCTTTACCATTTGTTATCTTGGCTTAGTTAGACATTGAGTGCTAAGAAATAAGTGATAACAATAACCTAGTGAAAGGAAGTAATTGCAGACTTATAGGTTCTATGGACATATTTCTCTTCCTATTCGTGAGGACTTCAAGAGCTAATTTTATTCATTTTTTTTTAAATCTCAAGTCCTTGCAAAGTATCTGGCATCAGAAAGTAATCAATAATAACAGAAAAATGAATTCATTGATTGATGATGAAGATAGCTGTCATCATCATAATTAGATATAAAATTTTGAAAACACTATTTAAAGTTAAAATTATTTTAAATTAAAATAACACAGTCACCATACTTACACTCTATCTTGATATATTTGGAAATCCTAAATAATAAGCCCTACCAGCTGGTAAAACCTGTGCATCAAGGTGCTGGAGGGTGAATTAATGGAATACATGGCCATTGGTTAAAAAAAAATACAAAACACACACACACACACACACACACACACACACAAAATGCCCATTCAATTATAGAGACTACGTCAGAAATCTTTCAGGTTTAAGAAATATATATATGTTTTTCCTATGGGGTGACAAGGTCTCACCTCAGATATTGATTCATCACACAACTCCCAGAGGGACACTTGGTGTTGTATGGAACATCAGGCATACCAAGGATGTGACCCAACTCATGTGACATCACTCCTACGAGAGCCAAGTTATTCTTTTTCTTAGCCTTAAAGAAAATAAAAACATGTTATTTATTTTTTAATTCAGTTCATTCTTAATTGTTGCCACTATTCAGTAGTGAAATGATAGTTTGACAAATAAACAATAGTCATTAAGTTCCTTTTCCTGTCATTGGTTATTGTAAAATGTTGAATAAACATTTAAAATAATTGACTATTATGAATGAACCACTGAGTCTGTTCTTTAAAAAAAATTTTTCTTTATTGATTTTATAGAGAGAGGGAGAAAGAGAGAGAGATAGAAACATCGATGAGAGAGAACATTGATTGGCCGCCTCCTGCATGTCCCCCACTGGGGATCTAGCCCACAACCTGGCCTTGTGCCCTGACCAGGAATCGAACCAGCGACCTCTTGGTGCATGGATCAACACTCAACCACTGAGCCACACTGGGCAGGCCTGAGTCATTTCTTAATAAATGTTTGCTGATCTAATGATAATTTCTCAGTAAACCATGGCTATATTAAGGTAAATGCAATCTTCATAGAAAATACTAAAAGATACCATATTGTGATTCAATCCAAAAACTATTGACATTGGTGGTGCTTGGCCACATCACACCAACATGCACCTTATCTGACCTCTTTGGCCAAGGATACTAGGGATGATTAATTTGAAGTTGGCTCAGGCCACAGAGGACACTTGGATTTCCTTTCTTTCCTAATCTTTCTGCTCTTACTCCCTAACACCAGCAGAAGAGTGAAGCCTTCTAGGAGAGTCAATGTAAAGAAATATTCTGCTCTGTAATCCAAGGAACCTTCAGTGTATTGATCTACCAACAGTTTTATTTCTACTTTCATTTACTGACTCAGCAAATGTTCATTGTACTAACTTTATATAAGGTATTACGCTAGTTTTTATAGAGGATATAAAACCACATGGAGCTTTACTATAGGTTTACAAACCTCAATAACAGCAACTGAAGATGGGGAACACAAGGAATTCGAGGCTGCCATTCCTACACGTCGATTGCTGAAGCCAAGTCCACTGTGTGAAAATTACAGGTACATTGTCACAATCTGAGTCTTTGGAACCATTCGCTGTTGTCAACTATGTTTTAGATTTCCCTTGTTGCCCTACCCTTTATATATTCATGAAGCCCCAGTAAAGCTTATGTTATTCCATAGAATTTGGCTGTAGAGGATTGTCCCACATTCAGGAATCCATTTTAGTGACCTGACACAGGACCCAATAATCTCACAAATTAAATGTTAAGGGTAGAACTTCAAGTTCTCTGATAACTGATTGTGAACAGTAATCCCTGCCAAGAAACCTTTGGGATAACTGTCTACTCTGCCTACCTATGCCTGGCTCTGGCCAGTGTGTACTCACCTGAGTAGCTGAGCATGGTCATGGGTCTTCATTTTCCCCATGTTAGAACGATGCCAGTTCAGAAAGTTGTTAAAGGTGACACCTGTGTTGGATGTCACCTTTATCTTATCACCATTAGACCAGATTTCCATACCTACCAAGGCCACTTGAACATCTATGGTGTTATAAATCTGTGGAAAGAGCATTTTTCTTCATAAAAATATTTGAGATTTCTTTAGTGTTTTAGATCCTTTGCTGGCCACAAGCGATGAATAAATGTATTCCATTTTGAAAACAGAAATCCTAAATTTGCCTTTGCACATATGATTTTACCTTGATGTTTATCCTTGTCTGCTAAGTTTCTCAAAACTGCTGATCTTAAACCACAGTGACCCTCCCAACTCCTTATTTGGTGAGAATATAGAGAAGCCCCTGGCTCCAATGTGGAAACATGTTCACAGGACAAATATCTTACCACATTGAGTAGATTCATCACATCAAACACAAAGCTTCGAATTAAAGTTAGATTTCCCTTATACATGTTATACTGTAAAATACAAAATACAAAGTAGAATTAAAATCTCAAACTATAGTGAAAAAGTTGATACAGTACAAGAGTTCACATTTTAAGAAAAATTACACATTTTATTGTAAGCACACATCCACTTATTCCATGTCTACCTTACATAAGATTCTGTATTTCAACAAATTTGTATTTCAAATGTAAGATTTTCTTGGTAAGATAAAAATTAGGCATTTATATAAAATTTCATATTTTTTTGTTTTTACATTAATTAAATCAAATTAATGATTTAAATGTTTTAAACCAATATAATATTATTAAAATTTGATTATAAAGCAATATTTGCTAATTAAAAGCACTGATTCTAGTATTTCTGAATATATAAATATAACTTGTAAAGTATATATAGTTTTGTGTCTACTTTATACTTACATAATATAGTAAGAATTTAAAAATATTTTAACAGTTTATTCATTTTTCTTTTTCATTATTGTGGGTGATCTCCTATAGCTATCTAGTATTAAGACTATTTATAATATCAAAATATTTTGGCAGCAGATGGATATTAAAGTTAGTGGGTGAGCAAAAACTATTGTTGGCAAGAAAGGTAGAACAGATAACACAATCAGGACAGGCTCAGTTTTTTCAGCCAGAATAGTTTATTGCTTGTTTCCTGATAAGAAAACTTAAAAAGTTGACTTAACGTGACAAGAAGCACATATATTTCATACTCACAAAGGCATTATCCAGTACCAAAAAGAGATCAATGTATTTCTCAGCCTGAAGAAAACGCTCTTCCTTTACATAAAGTAAAAGAACATTGTTAATAATGGTCTTTATCTTGAAAGTTTGAAAGCTTACAAAGATATTTTTTTTCTTCAGAGGAAAACGAAGTTGATGCATAAGTAAATACATTCTAGACTTTCCCTATACCAGCCATGCTGAGCAGCAGTCTATTATATACCATTGCTGCGACAACTGAAGTAGCTGACAGAGGAACGCTGTACTTACCTCTGGGCTCTTGAGTGACCTAGAGGTTCGAATGAGGTCATGTTTCCTGCTAACATTTCTTACACCACAGGTGTGGTTAGCTAGCTCCTCATGGTTATATGTGAAGACAGCATGTTCTTCTTGGTCTGTGCTTTTCAGAGGCTTTATCATATATCTTTGGTCACGAATTGTGAAGTATCCCCTGTGAGACACGGAGGCTCATATTTGAAAATTTTCTGCCATAGAGCCACATGTACTGACCAGAATGGATTAACACCTCTCTCTGCATCCCAAGCTCACACATACAGTACTTATTCACTGGGTTTTCGCTATTTTTTGCTAATTTAAGAGATAATATTTGTCAATACTAAAATGAAGCCTGTATTATTTACCCAGAGAATTGTGAACAAGAATAGCTTTCCCAAAGAATCTGGAATTTAGATCATGAGCTCAGTAAAAATTTTTCCATAGTTTATTTATACATTTAGCAAATATTTCTTGACAGGTCTTATGAAAATAATGGAGAATAAAATAAAGGAGTACATAGACATCAAGAACCCCAGACAAGAGAAAGACTGATGGGCAGATTAGCCAGAGGAACAGTTTGGAACTAGTAGTTTAAAGAATTCTACTTTAATTTAATAAAATTCATTCAAAAATATAAAGTTGAATCGATATGACGAAACATTACAAAGCTTACATAACCATTCAAAATTTCATCTATGAAAGTATCTTATAATAAAGAAAAAGACTTTTGATGTCATGCAATATGAACTATGTCAGAAGAACAATTATGTATATTTTGTTTCATATCTCAACCACATAAAAGGTGTATTTGTCAATATGCATAAAAGGTTCCAAACATGACAAAATGCTAACACAGAAGTAAAAGTTCATTGTGGATATTTTCTTATTTGGTTTTTTTTTTTAACTTTCCCAAATTCTCCTAATTGATAAGCATTACCTTTGAAATAAGGAAAAATGTCACACACACACACAATGTTTTTAAAGTATGCTTCACAGTGACAATTGCAGCATGGAATCTTTAAGAAAATAAAATGAAATGTTTTCAGGGAGTGAATGGATGAATGTAAAAATGGATCCAGATATCATCAAGGTCTAGAGTGCAGCATCTGGTTTAAATATTGCTAGGACTAACTTTTATTAGATCAGCAGATTATAAAATGATTGCAAAGATAATACCTTGTTCTTCACCTTAACTGCATATATTTAGCATGTTATAGATGGAGAAAATTTAATCAAGACAGTATAAGACATAATGTCCAGGAAGACTTATTCTATGTAATAAAATGATGCCTGATGTTTAATATTTTGGGGGAATAGTTCTCACCTCAACCCATTACAAGTATTAATGCTGGCAACAGAGTTATTTTCATTCAGAATGTGTCCTTTATAGTAGCAGTGTTCCTAAGTTTGGAAAAAAAGAAAAAAAATAAGTACAAGAATAAATGTGTCACAGTTGTGGTGGAAGCTGTTATCTTGAATACGTGGCCAGGCCATTTCCCTGAAACTAAAACAGTGAGAACCTCTGAGGTTGTATGAACTGCTCCACCACTGACTCTGGAAACCTCACATTGAATGATTGCGCTATCTTCCTGATACTCATTGGCACTAAAGAGAAGTCCAGGGAGGTTGAACCTAAGTGGTCTTATGGTGAAAGTGGACAATGGGTCTGAGAAGTAGCCAACTCCCCTGGGATCTACTGTATCCCCAGAGAACTCTCAGTGTTGAGAGACAACTTGTGAGAATTTGGGTCCCTCTGCTGAGTCTCTATGACACCGTGCATACCATAGCAATAAAACAGGGTACACATTTTTCTAGATTCTAGAGTCCTCAAGGTATCACATTACCACTCTGAGCCCTTCAATAATTGGCCCCACTTACCATATTAATTGGTGTTTTAGTTAGTGGAATTTCTTTATCATCATCATCAAAATCCCAAAGAATTTATCTAAAACTAGAGATTCAGACATGGTTGGGGATCCATATAAAGAAAATAGGAGGTTGTGTGAAGAATAACCTAAGAAAGCTAATGAATAACCTCCTGTTCAAAATAAACTGATTTGTCTCAGGGTCTGACATCCCTTCTGTGTTTTTCTTTCCTTTGGAATAAACCTTGTTATCATAAACATTTTCTCACAGGAGACTTGGAAAGGTACCACATTAAAGTATCAGCCACCACACTTGAGCATGATTTACTTTATCATATACTTTCCTTGGGGGTCGATATTAGCAAAAATCCAGACTGATATCCATGAGATGAGAGTTTTCATGTGAGTAGGAAACAAAGAGTCATTTTGTGGCAGAAGTCTGTTTTTTTTTAGAGACATACATGTTTGGGGTACCACGGGGGTGACTCAGAGAAACACTTAGCTTGGTAATACTCCATGATTAAACCTTTTTATATTCACTTTCTGTTCTTCCTTTGGCCTTGATTCTCTACATCTGACATCTAGGCCTGGCAGTATCTGTAAGGTGGTAGTATAACTAGATATAAAATTATATTAATTAAATCATTGATATTCCATTGCTGACCTCAGGATAAATGCACGTATCATCAGAAAATAAATAATGTCATGACATTTCAAGATCTATAGGAGAGAATATTTCTAACCTCTTAATAAAGGGGTCTAGGAGAAAAGTAGAATTTTGATTGCTTCAAAAAATGCAACTCTTGGAAGACTCAGTACTCGTACCTTAAAAACATGCTGACTATGATTTTCTTCATCTGTTATTTCATTGGATATATAAGCACCTTGCATTCAAGTTCTTCATTTTTATTTTAAGTTGTTACTTATAATGGAAGTGGCGGATTCAAAAAAATGTCCCAGAAAGCATTCAGAACCTACCATGTTCTGAGGGCTTGTGGTGATTTCCTCTCCTCTGGGTGAGTAATAGGTTTCAGTGTAGTCTGGCCCCAGGACATGCCTGTAGAGAGCAGAAACTTGCATGATACCCTCACTGTGGTAATAAAGGCTAATATTCCTGATGTGATTACCAGTACTAAAGGAATAATAATGTCTGCAATGGGAAGGAGTCAACATTCTGACACACTGATCTTTTTACAACATTGGAACTCTACTGCTGATGCAAATCAAAGCATTAGCTGTACCTGTTAGATCTGGGGGAAAAATGCCCTCAGCTGCCCTTTAACTGCAGATGATTTATGTTCAAAATGGGTTATTGGAGGATTCTTTGCACAAAGGACACATCCTTCACAGGCTCTCTGAAGGATTCTGGGTCACAAATATGCATAAAAAACCTTTGAAGTCTGAAAGACTTTTGCTGACTGCTATAGAACTCAGGGGAGCCCCATCTCTGGGATCTATTTCAGGGCTATGTTCCCTAAATGGACCTTGGATATATGTTCTTATAAAAGTAATGGAGCCCTGGCTGGTTTGGCTCAGCAGTTGGAGTGTCGGCCTGTGGACCAGAGAGTCCTGGTTCAGTTCCCGCTAGGGGCACATACCAAAAAAAAAAAAAAAGTAATGGAAAGTCACATCAAAAGTTTAAGTTTATTGTGTAGGAAAGAATTTCAGTAAATTTCAAGAAACATCAAGGAAGAAAGTCATTTATATGAGCAGTTCTCATTGTTTTACACTTTGCATGTAGTTTCCTAAGGAAGCTTCAATATTTCTGAGATAACATTAGCACAAACTTATCTAAAACATCTAAAACTCAAATCACACTAAATAAAGTCTCGAAATTTATGTTTCCACATTCTCTTAATACAATTCAGTGATTAACTTTCAGAAAGTACAACTTACTTGGTTTTTTGTAGGTACAGAATGACTTCTCCATTTAATGTAATCTGATACTGAAGTTCAGGTTCATATCTTTCCTTAAAAATGTAATGATATAATGATATAAATTTGTATTTCTGAGTCTAGCTAAAATAAACATAATATGATAATATATAGTATATAGAAGGATAATTACAAGTGCATGTAAGATAAAAGAAACTATCTTATATTTTTATAATATATAAAATTAAACATAAATTGTATATTTAGATGGATTTTCAAAAAGTATAATGACATGGTAATAATATAGATTAAACTAATTCTAATATGTCTGGGATGAATAATTTGCCCTATGTACAGTATATAGTCCTGTGTATCCTAATGGGCCTCTAATAGGTTAATAAAAAGGCATATATTTTTTTATGATAAAATTAAACCACATACACTAAAGAAAATCAACTCCAAACCTACTAATAATTAATAAAATAAAAACTATAAAATGATGGAAATGTTTGCAATAAGGTAATAGTTAAAACGTTAATATCCTTAATAAATTTTTTAAATCTTAATTATTGAGATAATGTTGAGTTCTTCATTACAGACAGAATATCTAAGAAAAAGGCAATTCAGTTGGGCAAGGGGCTGAGGGAGGAGAAAGGCTTAGGGGAGGTTGGTAAGGAATATTTTTAAAAATGGCTGCCTTTCTTGGGCTCCTTTTCCCCCCCAAGAAACTTGGAGAAATATCTAAGCATCTTTATTCTTACTGATTAAGTAATGCATTTATCTCTCTTTCTACTACTTAACTATAAAAGCATTCTGAGAAATCCTATGTTCTCTCCTGGATGAAGATTAAACCATTAGGTGTTGACTGTTATATCATTTCTATTAGTAAAAAGGCTCCTTATTGTCTCTTCAGATGATGGTAAAACCCCACAGTCACTTACCTTACTTACCTCTTTACCATGTGTCTCTGTCTGGTTGCTCTGCAGCTCTCTTTTGTGTAAAATGTGCAGTTTTTTAGGACAAACTACTTCATAGACTTCTAAGTCAGGTGTTTGCCTTATGGATATTGCTAGAGAAAGAAAGATAATAGTGATATAAATTATTGAAAGGATTTTGTTTTGGTTTTGGTTTTGGTTGGTTGGTTGGTTTGTTAAAATGGCATGGAAGACTGAATTTTCATTGAGAAAATAAACATTAAAATCAAGTTATTTCTTCTACTTGAACTTTGATAACAAAGGTGTTTTTTTATTTCCCACTCCCCTACCCTTGATTCTGGAAAGACACAATGATGATGGAACAGTGCTTTGGATATCTCTCAATATATAAATTCTGAGCCACCATCCCAGAAAAGGCAGGTTTGGGATTAGAACAAAGTGTAAGGGAGCCAGGAATTCTGCCTGTAGTAATCCAGTTCCTTCTTCCTCTGTTATCCTCTACAGAATTGTGATTTTTTTCTTTTAATGTTGTCAGAGATTTGTTTTCCTTTTTATATATTTTGCTCTCTGTGGCATTACCCATGACTACCCCCCCACCCCATAAAAAATAAATATTTTGTAGACAGATAATTCTTCATTCTTAGGAAAGATTCTACTAAAAGTTATTTTATCTCTCAGTGAAACAATAAACCATTATGTTCTGTCTCTCATTAGCATTTTCCTTTAAGACTTTAGATTTCACAGGAAATAGTGTTTTAGTTATCCTCTGCTGGAAAAAATTTAAAGCATCAGAGAGTCAGAACAAAAATTTTATATAGACTAAATGTTCTGGATTCACTTGGAATTACATTACACAGACACTTTTTTTTTTTTAATTAATTTATTTTATTTTATTTTATTTTTTATGAATTTTTACTTATTTATTTTGTTACAGATATTTTACCTTTTTACCCCATTGGCACCCCCCACCCCACCCCACCTCCGCCCCGTCCCCGGCTTAGTTGTCCATGTCCATTGGTCATGCATACATGCATATAAGTTCTACACAAACACTTTTCTATTTTGCTTGCATACAGTAGGAAAATAACTGAAATTGGAGCCAAAATATGTGGTCTTAAATCTTAGCTAAATGACCTTGTAAAAGTCATTTCAATTGCTGTCAGTTTATTGACCCAAAGCAGAGATTGGTATAAAAATTTAACATAAAATAATTTAACAGCAATCTAGGAAGTTGGTAGGCACATCCTTATCTATTTTTTTTCTTGTTCAATCATTGATATAAGATTAGTTTTATTTTTAAATGTTCCCATTTTCACAATCAAGTGTCTATGCTCAGAGACAAATTCTCAATCAGTGTGACAGTCAGCGTGACCCTAGGGACACCAAACAACTCTACACCTGGCTGATGTGGGCAACCTGAAGGGAAGTAGTAAGTCATAAAATCTCTTCTAGTCAGACCCCCAAATTCTGCTATGATGCTGTCCTAAGAAGAACTTATTACATGGGAAGAAAAGTAAATGTATAAATATACTGTTTAAAGTTTTAATCAAAAGAAAATATGAATCCTATTAGTGAAAAGAGTTATGAGATTGGAATTAAAGTGAATTTTAAAAACATCTAGTCCCAACTCTAGTACAAAATGGTCAGTTAGTCTAATAGTTTCTAATTTTGTTTAATAATGCAATTATGTCTAATTGAACTCTAATTTTACTTGTGTCTCCCTTGTCATCCATCTTAGTGCAGCATTTGGATAAATGGTGTCTTAAAATAAATGATTGTCTTTTTATGGGGTAGAAATATTAATGTATCCAAGATAACGCTGAAGATGGTTAGAAAAATTTTGAATTCTGGTCTAGAAGTTAATTCTCCGCTGTTATTTGGGGTTGCGTGTTTTAGAAAACAAAATATAGGACTTGTAGGATTATTGAACAAGAGATAACATTTCAGAGACATTCTAATTAAATGATTATGACAAGCACAACATTTTGACAATGAGCACAATTTATATAGAGAAAATATACCAAAATGCAAATCGTAGTGAGGTTTGAGTCATGTGAGCACATAATTTTCTTAATGATATTTTAAAAAATGCATTAAGTAGTTTGACTTTTATAAAAAATGCCAATATATTAGTGCTTACCTTCAGTTTGTGCAATGAGCCAGAGGACAGAAAGCAGGATCAAAGCCATGCTGGCAACTGCAGGTGGCTGAGAAGTCCCACACAGCATGAAGATGTGGTCTCTCCAACTATTTATCTTCCCCTTTTTCTTATTACAAATTGCAAAGTAAAATATAAATCTCAAACCTTATTTATGAGATTTGAATATGTTTCCTAATGGTGTTGAGAAATTGCCAAGAAATTTCAGTGTCAAGAACATGAGAATGTTCCTCATTGATGACACTTGTTTATGTCTGTGGTTACCGCCTGCTAAGAATCACTTCTGGACAGCTGCTTGTCCTAATGTTCCCGAAAGGTGGAAAGTACCAGTTGAGACTTCAGCGCCCGTGTACACATTTGCATACTCATCAAACTGAACTATCACCCTTGCTCTTCAGTAACCTTAGAGAAATTGGTCCACAAATTTAGAAAATATACCAGTAGTCTTTACATACTTTATGCCACCGACACAGAAAACACAAAATCCATAAAACAAGAACCAGGCAAAGTCTTACAAGCTAGTGCATTGCAATCTCTCTGCCTCTCAGTCTCATTTTCTATGAAAATGGGATGATGATAACAATACCTACCTCAAGCTTTTTATAAAATTCATGTAAAGTGCCCTGGCTGGATGGCTCAGTTGGTTGGAGCATCGTTCCATACACCAAAAGGTTTCATATTCAATTCCCAGTCAGGGCATATACCGGGGTTGTGGTTTTGCTCCCTCGTTGGGGCCCACAGCATGGATGTTTCCCTCTCCCATCAATCTCTCTTTCTCTTTCTCTCTCTCTCTCTCTCTCCCTTCCTCTCTCTCTAAAAATCAATAAAAACATATCCTCAGGTGAGGATTGAAAAAAATTCATGTAAGGTAAGACTTACACATGCATCCACTTATACACATAAAACTTCAAAGAAATGTACTCTTGACAGTATTAGCCTCAAATTATACTGCATATGAAGTATGTTTGAAGTGCAGTGTGGGTTCTACTACAGAAAAATAACAATATTTTTGTGATAAAATAATGTATTTTCATGGTCATAAATATCAAGAGTATAAGGGAAAAAAGTTGATCACCTGACATCAAAACAAGACTTCTAACATTTTGATAATATATTTATATCTCTTTTCTATGCACTAATAAAAGGAGAAAAATAAAAGAAAATTAAAATTTTTAGACTTTAGTATTTATTGTATAAAGGGTTTTAGGAACCTGTATTTTTTTGTGTAGCATTATGACATAATGTTGGATATTAAGATGTTATTTTAATGACTTCAGAATATTGCCTTGTGTATTGTTATGTATGTCTTTGTATGTGTATATTTCTTTGAATGCATTTCAGATTATTTCTTTTGGATAAGTTTTTAGAAACCGCATTATTTAAAGAGGGTAAATCAATGTGAGGTTCTTGGTATAGATTGAGCTGGTACTTCTTAAAGAATTAGCACCAAATTTCATTTTAATTTATAGTTTTCCCAATCTAAAAATCTAACTTTAACTGCTGAGCTTATATTTACTGATACATTCGGAAGTTTGCTAACATCTGACTGTAACCTTTGTAGTTATCTCTCTATGTTTCTTTGAGTCAGTTAAGTTTTCTCTATTATTTTATATTACATTTGTTGATCCAGAAGATCAACATTCTACATGTATTTTATGGTAGTTACTACTAAATTTTAACAAAATATAATTTCAATTAACATCTCTACCATCAAATAATACAAGACCTTGGAATGGTCTAACTCATCAGCATCTCACCTCTTACCACCTTCCATATTGTTGTCAATTATTTTAGTTCTACCATGACATTCACTAGCAAGTAAGTTAATAGCATTCACTTTTAATTTTATACAGATAACCTATTTGAAGTTATTTATATGTATACCACCTTCTTTTAGTAGCAGGCTTTTTGTAATTTTTTTTTCTTTTTGAAACAAATTCTTTGATAAATCATTAACAGTTTCTTGGAGTAAGACTTCTGCGTTTTTTGTTTTTGTTTTTTTTGACTTCTGCGTTTTTAAGATATTTTTCCAGACAGTATATTTATCTCTCTTTATTCTTTAATGATAGTTTAGCTGGGAATACAGTTGCAGGATGACAACTAATGTTTCTCAGGATTTGGGAGCTATTTTACTATCTTGGGCAACTAATGCTGCTGTCAAAAATTAGGCTTTTAGCCCTGGCTGGTTTTGCTCAGTGGTTAGAGTGTCAGCCTGCGGTCCAGAGAGACCTGGGTTCAGTTCCTGCTAAGGGCGTGTACCTCGGTTGCAGTTTGTCCCTGGCTCTGGTTGGGTGTGTGGGTAGCAGCCACTTGATGTGTCCTGTTCACATCAATGTTTCTCTCTCTCTCTCTCTCTCTCTCTCTCTCTCTGTCTCTCTCTCTCTCTTTCTCCCACTCTATCTGAACAAAAAATGGAAAAATGTCCTCAGGTGAGGATAAAAAAAAAATTTACGCTTTTAGTCTATTAAATGAACATTAATTTAGCTTATTAAATATACAACCAGTATTTGAAGATATGTTAAATATTCATTGAGATTATCTTAAATTTGAGTTAATATTAAATTAATACTGGTTTATATTAAATTCATATGATTTCTGAGCATGCCAAGATGACCCTGATATTATCCCTACTATTGAGATATTCTTGCAATAAAGTCTAGTAATGTAGATAAATCTACAAATAGATATAATTTATACAAATGGCAACGTTATCATTGAGATTTATGCATTATATTCAGGTAGATTTTAGAAGCGTAACATTTGGTGAGTAGAAAGAGTCAGATAATATTAGCTGGAAAAGAAAAAAGAGAATGGGTATTTTGGTGAGAAAAAACTACATGAGCAAAGGTATGGGTATGCTTGTGGAACTACAATGTGTTTCCCATAACTTGAATATAATATAAAAAGTAATAGGTACCTGACATAAAGCTTGTGAGATGTCCAGGTATCAAGTTATAATGAGACAAATGCTAAAGGTCTTAAAGAACAAGGTACACATCTGAGAAATATTTAGCTCATAAAATTGATTGACTTGCTAGTTGATTGCATGGCAACTGGGGGAGATATAGGCATGTGGAATCAATTCTAAGGTACAGCGGGAGTAACTATATGACATCTTCCAACTTGGTTAGTTGATAGGAGTTGCACTTTAGCTATACCCCTTAAAGGCTGGAGATATATCTCCTGGTTTACCCTTCAGGCTTACCCTTCAGCACCTAGAAGATAGTAGATTTTCAAAAATGTTCATTGAACAATTTTACCATGAAAGGAGTTTGCAAACTAAACTTTCTTCCAAGAACACTGAGGCTGTTTACTAGATAGCTGAATATCAACTTGTAAATGAAAATTGTGGACATAACAGTAAAAAGATTATTTACTCGATGCATCTGGAGGGTTTGAGATATGACATATATATGGACCCTTATGAATACAATATCCAAGGATTGAATAAACATAGGATTTAATTTATGGTCATGAAACAGAAATATAACCAACATCCTGACCACAGACAATTTCGTTCCCATAAAACTTGCAACTTAACATTCTGGAGTGTTTCCTAATAAAGTATATTTGATGATTCATGAAAGATGTTTATTATCTAACTAGAAATGAAAATCAAATAAAACCTGGGCAAAAATTACAATAATTGCTAAGAAATACCCCTAAAATGGGTGCAAGGTAACAGGGTCATTGCATAGAGAGTGAGTCACTTATGCTAAATGGTATAGATGTTGAAGAGATTGGAGGTAAAAGGTAAATTCAGTTGCAGGTAAATAAAGGTCTCTAGATATTTCAGTAAAAGGAATGAGAGAGGATTCAGTAGGGTGTGTCAATTCATTCAATGAATATTTAGAATTGTTTATGTTCTTATTTTTTAGGCTTTGTATAAGAGTTTTGGAATGTGAGATTAAATACTAGAATTGTGAAGAAAATCATACTGAACAGCAAGGGAAACAATGCATATGAAAAAAGACAATACAGAGTTGGATAAGAGGGGGATGTTTTGAGTATCCACCAAGGAATACTTCCAGCTATAGTGGACTAGCTTATGTCGGAGCAGTCCTGCACCATGATGTCTTAATGAGCTAGAGAAAAAAAAAAGTGTGTGTGTGTGTGTGTGTGTGTGTGTGTGTATCCATAGATAAATATATTAGAAGGCATTTAGAATAGCTAAGGCAACAAGAACTGGAATGGCCAAGATTTCAAAAAGAAAGGAAGTACACAGAGGTGAGCTTGACATTCCCCTCCACATTTTCCTTCAGGCATTTAGCAATTCCTAGATTCCAGCTAAGAGGCTAAGAAGCAGAGCAGAGTTCTCAGTAGTAGCCTTACACTGCTACAAAGACAAAATTGGAATTAAGGGGCCCTCAAGAAGGAGGGAGACTCATAAACTCCCTAGAATGTGCTGGGATCTAGAAAAGACTGAATTCTACTAAGAAAGGCAAACAATAAATACTCAAGCCTTTACAGATTGAAAACCAATTTCTGATCAGCTCAGTCCCCAATTACATTAAGGCGATTTACCTTGAGGTTAACTGCCTGCCAGGAGAAAAGGAACAATTTAGTATAGCTACACAGTGAAATACTACACAGGAATGGAAGTGTACCATCTGCTACATGCAGAGTCATGGATAACTATCATACACATATTTTGAAAAAAGAAAAGCCTTATGATTCTACTGAAATACCTTCCCAAACTGGCAAAACTCAGCTATAATTTTAGATATCTGTAGTGTTTTGGGGGAGAAGGAGGGAATTTAATGACTGCAAGGAGATATGACTGATGCTTTCAGGGCACTGTTAATGTGACATTTTTCTTGATGGATGTGGTAATTACATGGGATATATGTCATGTGAAAATTCATTAAGCTGTACAATTATAAATGTTGTATATTTTTCTAAATATGTATATGTATATTATACCTCCATAAAAGATTTTAAAAAGTGTTTACATGTGTATATATACCTATGTATCTCTCCACACATATACACACATACATCTGTCTTGAATACAACATTAACAATTCAAAATATTTGGTTTGTAAGAAACTTAGTTTTTTAATTGTAAAACGGTTATTGCTA